TGGCAGCTTTTAAGATTCTTGCTTTGTCATTGGTGTTTGCCAATTTAATTATAATGTGTCTTGGCATCGGTATTTTGGGGTTCATTTTGTTTGGGACTCTGTGAGATTCTTGGATTTGTGTGAGTTTTTTCTTTCCTATATCAGGGAAGTTTTCTGCCATTATTTTTTAAAACAGGTTTTCTATTCCTTGCTCCATTTCCTCTCCTTCTGGCACCCCTATTGGGCGGATGTTGTCTCATTTCCAAAGTTCTCTTAGGCTCTCCTCCTGCTTTAAAATTTTTTTTTTCTAGAAGCTGCTATGCTTGGGTATTTTTTCCTACCTCCTCTTCTAGCTCACTGATGTGGTCATCTGCTTCTTCTAGTCTACTGTTGATGCTTTCTAGTGAGTTCTTTATAGCAGTGATGTTATTTTTCGTTTCTTCTTGGTTCTTCTTCATTTCCTCTTGGTCCTTACACATATTGTTGAATTTGTCTTCCATTCTTTTCATCCACCTTATGACCTTTTATCTGAATTCTTTCTCTAACAGGTTGCTTGCCTCCATTGTCTCCATTTCGTTTACTTCCTTTTCTGGTGATGCTTGTTTTTCTTTCGTATGCGGACTGTTTCTTAGTCTCCTCATGATCACTTTCTCCAGGTGTTTGGTTATGTAGTTATCCCTCTGTTTTACGTGAGGAGGAGCAAGGCTTGTTTGAGTCCACGTAGTCGCGCTGCTTGAGATGATCCCTGGATGCCGTGGTTGCAGGGTCTCTGGATGTATACGCTTCCAATATCAGCCACTCAAGATGGTGCAGTCTTCACGGCTGAGCCGGCTGCTCCCCGCTGGCTTTCTTTTGCAACTTTTTTTTTTTTTTTAAAAAAAAAACAACTTTATTGCATTATAATTCACATAATATGCAATGTACTCCTTTTAGCTATGCAGTTAAAAAGATATTCTCAGGTCTGTGCAACCATCACCACAGTCAATTTCAGAATATTTTCACTACCTCAGAAAGAAACTTATTCCCTTTAACAATCACTCCACATTTCCCCAAACTGCTCCCACACTACTAATCCGCCATCTGTCTTTATAGACCTGCCTATTCTGGACATGCCATACAAATGCAATCATGCAAACTTTCTGACTGGCTTCTATCACTTAGTTTAGTGTTTTCAAGTTCCATCCATATAGTAGCAGGTGTCAGTACTTCATTCTTTTTGTGGCTGAATAACATTCCATTTATGGAAAGACCACACTGTACTCATTAGTTGATAGATATTTTGGTTTTGTTTTGCATTTTCCCGATGATTAGTGATGCTGAGCATCTTTCCACATGCTTATTGGCCATTGTACCCATTACATTTTTTATAAGTTGCAAGATATAGCTTACATGAAAAAAAAAGCACAGAGACCGTTTATTTAAAAGAATAATGATAAAGCACCCATATCTAGGAACAGAACATTACCAGAACCCCAGATGATGCCTGGGTGACCTCATAAACTACAGCCCCTTGCCTCCAACTCCAGAGACAAGCACTTTTGGTATTTGTGTCCCTCATCTCTTTACTTTCCATGCATCCCCTCTCTGTGTGCCCTGAAGAGTACAATCCAGTTTTGCCAACTTTTAAATATATATATATATATATATATATATATATATATATATATATATATATTGATTTCAGAGGGGAAGGGAGAGGGAGAGAGAGATAGAAACATCAATGATGAGAGAGAATCATCTATCTGTTGCCTCCTGCATGTCCCCCGCTGGGGACCAAGCCAGCAACCCAGGCATGTGCCCAGACTAGGAATCAAACTGTGACCTCCTGGTTCATAGGTCGATGCTCAACCACTAAGCCACAACAGCTGGGCAGTTTTGCCAACTTTTGAACTGATAAAGATAAAACAATTCTGTGGAAATCTTTCAATTACTTCTTTCCTTCCCTACTGTGTTTCTGAGGTTGACCTCTGTTTGTGTGGCTGGCTGTAGTTGTTCACTGTCATTGCCCTATTGCAGTGATGGCGAACCTATGACACGCGTGTCAGAGGTGACATGCGAACTCATTTTTTTGGTTGATTTTTCTTTGTTAAATGGCATTTAAATATATAAAATAAATATAAAAAATATAAATCTTTGTTTTCCTATGCTTGCAAATATCAAAAAATTCTATATGTGACATGGCACCAGAGTTAAGTTAGGGTTTTTCAAAATGCTGACACGCCGAGCTCAAAAGGTTCTCCATCACTGCCCTATTGTGTCCTGTTGAGTATACATGCCTCAGTTCATCCTTCCTACTATGACGGATAGAAATCCAGATGGTGCCCCGTTTGGCATTATCATAAATACTGCTGCTCTGAGCATCCTGGAGCCTCTTTCCCCTCCACATGAGGAGGTTTCCCCAGGCTCTGCTGCTTGCACTCTTCAGCTTTCTCAGGCTGCTGTGTTTGCACTCAGTTTGTGTGAGTTCTAGGGATCCTGCAGCCTCACCCACACTCAGTAGTGTCAGAATTCATTCTGAACATCTTCCAGCATCTCTTGTTCAAGTCTCTGACCGCACTAAAATCTCAGTCATCCAGGCCGTCATGTCTCAGGAACACCTGCCTGTTCCTGGGTCCACATGCATCACACCTCTGAGCCTCACTCTTTCCCACTTTTCAGGCCAAGGTGGGCTGGCCTGTGGGAACTCTCTTCTCACTGATGATACAGAGGGACATCTGTGTTATTTAGGTGGCAACTCATCTAGCAGCTCCAAGTGTCTGAAGGTCGTATGAGGGTGCTGGCACATAGTATGTGCTCTGTCTCACTAGGTGTCCTGATACCAGAGACTCAACCAGCCAGGATCTCTGTCCCTGAACATTCTGGATGCTTACAACATTGCTGACTTGTTTGATTATAGGTACTCTAGTCAAAACACAGGTAATCTTCCCTTCCTGTTGAGTATATTGACCAAGTATTGGTCACCTCCTCCTGGAAGCAGAACAATTAGTGCTGGGTGGACCCTGAATACAGGTCCATTCTAGGTGACAAATCTCTGTGTCCCCAGCACCCGCATAGGCCCAGGCCCAGAGGCAAAACTAACAATTACTTTTTGAATGTCTGATTTTGTTATAGCATTCTGATTTTTGTTAGAAAAGATAAAATTGCATTTGCTCCATGTTTCAGTGAAGGCAACTGAGCCTCAGAGATGGGGTGTGACAACCCCAAGGGCAAATACCAAGTAAGCAGCAGGGAAAGCATTCACACCCCTCAGCAATAAGACCCTGCCTCTGAATGCCTCAAACACCAGAATGCCTGCTCTAGGAGTCAGCTGAGCCTATTTTTCCCTGTAGATGGAATCATACTAACCTGATAAAGTGAAATAAGATGCTATATATAGAAGCATGTGTATAAGTGATTAATAAATGTTCATTTACTTATTCACTTATTCTTTCACTGTGTAACAAGAAAAAGTATTTTGACAATCTGGATGAAGAACTAGGAATATGACACACTATGACCCAGAAACTATGCTCACTAATACATCCCCATCCCAGTGCCTGCTATACAGTAGCAGCTTAATACTTGTCTATTAGGATGACATCAGGCCAAAGATGATGAGGAAGGAAGAGAAGTTTCAGTTCCAAATATACTTGTTTCCACATTACATAGAGTTAAAAAGAAGGAAAGAAGGGAGGGAAGGAAGGAAAGAAAAAGTAAAAAACAACAACTGAAAACAACCTAAATACCCTGTGCTATGGGGGCTTTGGTAAATGATGTCTCCTCTTACTGCTAGGATATTCCAAAGCTGGGGTCAGCAAAATATGGCCTATGGGCCATCTCTAGCCTACTACCTATGTAGATAAATAAAGATTAAATGTAAACCAGCCATTAATTTTGCCTTTGAACTTCACAACAATGGAATCCTATATTATGTTCTTTCTGGTGTCCAACTTTTTTCACACAACATTACATCTAGAAGATTTGTTCTTATTGTATTAGTAGTTCATTCTTTTTCACTATTATCTAGTATTTCATTGCATGATTATAATTAATTACTATTTATTATTATTCCCATCTATATATGGTGAAACTGCAGTACAGAGATTTAAGGTAAGTTGCCCAAGGACACACAGCAGGTTCATGTTAGATCTGGGACTTAAGCCCAGGGTCCAGAATCTGTGCTCCTCCCCAACTCCCACCCCATACAGTACTGCCTCTCATGCTATGATGGTGGAAGCCCAAGGGGCCTTGGGAACTCAGAAGAAGGGCGACAGCATCCAGCCTGGGAGCCAGGGATAGATGTCAAGGAAGCTTCAATCAGAGCAATGGGTTTCCAAACTTATATGTCCATGGTGTCTGGCAGGTGTCATAGGTGATCAGAGCAGTTGATCTCTGAAAAACCATAACTTAAGGTCAGGTAGGTAATAGGGAGCAGTGAGAACTATGGCAAATTGAAAGATACCAACTCATGAGGAAGACAGCTGCTGGTATAGCTCCAAGTATTATTGCCATATGACAAGGCTGGCAGAGGTTGTGGTGAGCCAGGACACAGCAGGACTACAGCTGGCATTTCTTGCCAGATTCTGTGCCAGGAAGTCAGCACCACTTATTAAATAATTTGACTATCACCTTGGAGTTGCCAGATGCACTTTCTGTTTGCCAAAAACAAAAGAAAAAACAAAATAAATGCACATGGGAGTCTGCCTTTTAAATATTCCTGGTTTTTAAATGTTGGTTCACAAACCATTTTAAACCTGGGCAGGCCAAAGAGAACCTGTGTGTGTTCTGGACTGGCCTGAACTGATCTAAGCGTATCTACAAACCGCACAGGAGTTGGGAAGCAAGGAAGGCAAGTTAGTTCCAGGTGGAAGGCACAGCACAAGGGCTGGAGATGAGAGGAATTTGAATCCAGGCCTGAGTTTCCTGCACCAAAAGAAAAAAACAAAAACCAAACCCAGCTAGTTGGGGCACGGGTGGGCCAGGCTGGGCTGGGTCCTGCGTGCAATGACCTGCGTTGTGCTCTTCCCCACCCACTCCTGCAGATCCTGGAGGAGAACATGAAGCTGGAGTGCAAGTGCCACGGCGTGTCAGGTTCCTGCACCACCAAGACCTGCTGGACCACGCTGCCACAGTTCAGAGAACTGGGCTATGTGCTCAAGGACAAGTACAATGAGGCTGTACACGTGGAGCCTGTGCGCGCCAGCCGCAACAAGCGGCCCACCTTCCTGAAGATCAAGAAGCCACTGTCATACCGCAAGCCCATGGACACAGACCTGGTGTATATCGAGAAGTCACCCAACTACTGTGAGGAGGACCCAGTGACGGGCAGCGTGGGCACGCAGGGCCGCATCTGCAACAAGACAGCCCGCCAGGCCAGTGGCTGTGACCTCATGTGCTGCGGCCGTGGCTACAACACTCACCAGTACGCACGGGTGTGGCAGTGTAACTGCAAATTCCACTGGTGCTGCTATGTCAAGTGCAACACCTGCAGCGAGCACACCGAGGTGTACACGTGCAAGTGAGCCCAAGACCACACTGCATGCGCCCTCAAGTCAGGTCCACTGTAGGGAGGACCAGTGTCCAGCTGCACTTACCCTGAAGGTCACTTCCCAGATCTCCATAGGGAACTGCAGGAATGCTGAGCTTGTCTTTCCTGCTGTGGAGGCACCTGCGCAGTTTCCTGCAGACACTTTGGGGAAAGGGCTCTCCAGAGCCCCTAAGCATTCTAGTCCATTCCCAGCCTGCTCTGCCCTACCCCAGACACTGCCTGGGCCTCCTCGCTGCAGCAGAGCCTCGCACAGCAGGAACCCTGGATCCTTGGGCCTCATCATAGCAATATTTAACAATTTTGATTTTAAAAATAATATTAATTTATTTAATTAAAAAGAATCCTTCCACCTCATTGGGATCCGTTTTCTGCAAAGTGGACTGATTGCTTTCTTTGCAGGAAGATTTTGTCACTGGGACAAGGAACAAACTAGAACTGTACATAATTATTCTTTATGCAGATATTTCTACTAGTTGATTCTCTAAGTATCCCCTGCACTAGATGTTTAAGTACAGAGCAGATGATATATATATATATATATATATATATATATATATATATATATATATATATATTTAAGCTGATCCAAGTTTGGAGATGTTTTTCACAATACATTTCCCATCCTTTAGTCCTCCCCAACTCACACTTCACCATTAGAAAAATCCAGTTTGGAATAAATAGAAAGAAGAAAGATAGTAATAAAAGCACCCAGCAATTTTCATCTTTTGGAAAGTGAGCCACTGGATAGGAGAGAATGTTTTGTAAGAGACTATTTTTATATGAACATTTTATTTATTTTGCATTTGGCTGTATCATTCCGTCACCTGGGCTTCTTAATTCCAGGACTTGCTCTGTGGTAAGGAGGGGAAAGGCCTGGGTGTGGAGTCAGAGGACCCTCACACAACTGGGTTTTCAAGTTCTGTTGATCAAATGGGCAAAAGTAGCCATGGATGCCTGGGCTGTCGTGTCATTGGTATTACCTGGGAAAGGAATTAGACCTCCAGTCTCAGCCTATTAAGTTCAGGCTTTAAGAGCAAGGTCACTGAGCAGTGACCTCATGATTAGCCATTTGGTGGGCAGGTGTGTGCATTGGGACCAACACAGGGACTTGGTCATGGCCACTTGGTAGAAGCCAGCTCAGGGAACTCCTCACCAGAATGCTTCTGAATTGCTGAGTGCCCTGGGGGATAGGGGTGAGGCATAGACCTCAGCTAAAAGGCAAAAAAGCTGGGGTGAGAGGTCCCACGAGCAGCTGGGTTTCCTGGATGTCACAGCCCCAGGGTAGACTGTCAGAGAGAGGGATGCACGAGGCCTCTCTGCCCTGGGTCCCCCTTCTTCCAGTGCCTCTGTACTTGGAAAGCTTTCCTTAAGGAGGCCGTGGGTGTTCTGCATCCGTGTGTGTGTGTGTGTGTGTGTGTGTGTGTGTGTGTGTGTGTTTGCATGCGCGCACACACACTCGCGCTGCAGCTTTAGGGAGTCTTGGGACAGTCGTGTGACTTTGTGCTTTCAGGTGTCTCTTGTGTGCTCCTGTGTGTACCCAACTATCTCTGTTTCTCTCCATCTGTGTGCCTGAAAGATTCAGGGTGGTGTGTGCATGTGTGTGTGTGCCTGTGTATCTCTACAGGGCAGGGTTGATGGTGTTGAGTCAAACTATAGGGACCTTTGGCAATTGTGTTGAGTCACAAAGAGATGGCACTTCTGAACTCTATGCCCACAGGTACCTCTGAGATCACAGCCCCATGGCCCCATAAACTGGGAGCCTCTCAATGTCTAGGCTGTATTGGACACTCCAGTGTCAGCACTGGGCCTGGATCACAGCATAGACAAATAAAATGGCTGGACAGTTGGTTGATTTCTTCCCTTGGACATTTTTTTTCTTCTTTATTTGGGTATCAGGATGGGTAGGCATGAAGGAATGAGTGCATGGGTGGATGGGTGAATGAATGGGTGAGTGGGCAAGTAGGCAAGTGCGTGGGGGGGCAGTTAATGGGTGAGGGAAGAGAAAATGCAGAAGTTTCTTGAAGTCTCCATGTCACGGTTTATCTCTGCCTCAGAAGCCTGCAGTGTCCACCATGAGCAAAGAGGCTTCTTAAGCCTTCAGCCCCTCTGCTCCCGACTGGCCTCATAGCACCTGAGAGTGAAGGAGATTCTGATCACCTCCCAGAGAGGCTCATTTAATGTAATCGCATAAACATGGTTTCAGAAGCCACTCCATGTCTTGTTTAACTGTACAGATGAGGAGTGGGCCTGGCAGGGGGCAGCTGGGCTTGTGAGAAGAATGGCCAGGTCAGCTGCCAGCCTATCACTTGGCTCCTTAGTACACTGTTAGTTTCAAACGTAGGGACCTGCCTCCCCCCAAAGGTGCCCAGCTAAGCTGTGCTCTGAGCCTCAGTTTCTCCATCGCAAAAGTGGAATAAAAATACCTACCTCACAGGGGTGTTGTGAGGGTCCTTCCAATAATGATTGTATGGCACTTTGAGTTTCAAAGCAATGGATGGATGCTAAGTATTATTATTATTAATTATTATTGTTGCTATTAATACTATTCTCTCCATAATGATAATATTCTTAAAACATAGCTTATAAGAATACATATTTTGCTCTGTGTTAGGCAGAGATATCCCCCCTTTGTTTTACTCCTAAAGTGGCTTTTCAATAAAATTGCCATTAAAAAGACAAAAATCTTAAGAGACTGAAACAAAAAACACAACAGCAGAAAGTCCAGGACTATAGTTTGGAAAGCTCAGGGTCCAGGTGGATAACAACTGAGGGAAGTGAGCTGCTCAGTGTAAGCCCATTGGAGCTGCATGAAGATGTGGGCATCCTCATAGTCAGACCCGCTGATTTTTCTTTAAGCCTCACCCGAGGATATGTTTTTACTGATTTTTAGAGTGGGGCGGGGAGGGAGAGAGAGACAGAGAAACTTTGATGCAGGATGGAAACATCAATCAGTTGTCTGCTGTATGTGCCCCAACCAAGGATTGAACCTGCAACCTATGTATGTGCCCTGACCAGGAATTGAACCCACAAGCTTTTGGTGTACAGAATGATGTTTCAACCAACTGAACCACTTGTTGGGGAAGATCTCCTACTTTTTTAATATGGAGCAAAACAGGATTGCAAGCTGAACTTGCCTTTGTGCCTCCAGTGTGCAGCCTCTGACTTGGACCAAATCTCTTGTTTTAGAGATGGAGAAACTGAGGCGCAGAGAGGGACAGGACTTTTGCAAGGCCATGTAGCAAGCCCAGCAGAGGGAAGACAAAAACAGGACTTATGCCTCCCGGAAAGGCCAACAGAGTGCATCCCTGAGGCAACAAAATAATGTGGAGAGGTGGGATGGGAGGGATGAAATTCCTACTGGTTCAGACTACCACAGGGTGGGGCAAAAGTAGGTTTATAGTTCTAAGTACACAAAGCACAGAGTTTATTCTTGATTATTATTTATTAATCATTGTATTGTTTTTCATATGAACAACTGAAAATCTACTTTTGCACCACCCTGTATGTGTTCTCAGGTGTGTGTGCAAATACACTCATGTCCTTCTGGACTTAAGTTTAGAACTAATTCAAGGCTCCACTGGGTGATGGGTCTGTGCTCTCAACCACTCTGTAGGGGGTGCCCTGGCAGCCAGCCAGTGGAATCCCCCAAACTCCCATTCTCCTACCCACACCCCTTCAATCAAGGAAACCCCTTAGCAAGACCCAGGTCAGGAGAGTCCTGGGTTGACCTGTTTCTCTACCCAAGGTAGAGCTGTCCCTTGCAATCTTCAAGGCAAGTTTGTGATGTGTTTCCTGAGACCCTAGGAGGGCTCCATCCCCACTTACAAATGAGGACCAACCTCAGGGAAGCAAGTGCCTTCTTCAAGACCCCAGCCCCATGAAATGGGAAACAGGCTGCAGTCTGGTTGTCTCACATCAGCCTATGGTCCTGAGCCTTCTGTCACCTCTAACAGAAGCTTAATAAAGAAAGAAAAGGCAGTGGGTCACACAGGGCATCCAAGTCTGATACAGATCGTCATTGCCCACTTTTCCCCACCTTACTGAATGCATCCAACAGGCCACCAAGTCCTGGCATTTCTTCCCAGGGCATTGCACAGCCCACCCACCTTCCTCACCATCTGGCCACCATTGTCTCTACCTAGAAGAATGCCCACCTCCTCCCAGGCCTCCCTGCCTCCACTCATGCCTCCTCAAATCAGCCTTTCAAGCTCTGGCTAGCCCAATCCACTTCCTGACTATAACCAGATGTGGCTCCTCATTATTCTGCAGATAAGGAGCAAGTTCATTAGTCCTTCACGACCTGAAAACCTTGCCTCTGCCTCTTCTGCACAGCAGTAATAGTGCCATTTGTGAAGTTATTGCTTTGTGCCAGGCAAGGTTCTAGCAATTTTCATGAATTCTCTCTTAACTTCACAGCACCCTGTATGTCTTATACCTTTGCTGTGTCCTCTGCCAGGAACGCCCACCTTCCTTCCCTCCACCTGACAGACTCTTATTCCTCTGAGGAGCCCTTCTTTGATATTGCAGGAAGGATGCAGTCTGGAGCCACCCATGTGCAGGTGAAGCCTTGCTGTTCTTCTTGTCCTGAGCTACTGGAATCGGAATTACACTCTCCCTCACAGTGTTCTAGAGCCATCTTCCAGCTGAGGGCAGGGAGATGAAGGGATTCACCCACACAAATCACTGACCAGGCTCTATGACCAATGTATCAGTTAGCTATTGCTGAGTAACAAACCACCCCAAGACTCAATGACTTCAAACAATTGTATCATTGCAACTAAGTCTATGGATAAGTTGAGCAGTTATTCTGATCTCAGATGGGTTCCCTCATGCACCCATGGTTAATTGTGGGTCAGGTAAGTGACCCTGCTGATCTTGGCAAAACTCTGTCATATGTTTTGGAGTCAACTGGCTACAAGCTGGTCTAGAATGACTTTAACTAAGATGAATGGGCCATAATCTCATCCTCCAGTAGGCTAGCACAAGCTGGTTCACATCAGAGTAAATGATTCTGAAAGTAGGAGCAGAAGCTGCCAAACTTCTTGAGGCCCAGGCTCAGCACTGGCACAAGGTTAGGTCTGCTACATTCTATTAACCAAAGCAAGCCACAGGACCAGCCCAGATTCAAGGTGTTACGAAGGAGACTCTTTTTCAATGGGAGGAATTGCATAGTCACATAGCAATGGGTGTGGGACAGAGAAGGGACTTAACCACACACAAGACCATTGTGAAGACATTCACATTTGCTGTCCTGAGCAGGACATGGCACTGATAATGTGGCAGGAACACAGCTGCTCTGTTTAATGGGCCCCCAAACCTCAGCTTCTCCACCTGTCCATCACTTGTTCTAGAGTCAATCTTGTATCTTGTCTTTTTCTACCCCAGTCCATCAGCAAAACCTCTTGAGTGTACTTCAAAATATACCCAAAGGTAACCACTCTGTCTGCACACCCACCAGCCATCTGTGTGTCTGAGTCTGGCCAAATTCTCACCATACCTAGGTCCTCTCTGTAGGTCATATTGCCAGACCACATTCCCTGTTTCCCTTGCAGTTGGGAGTCACCACATGACTGGGCTCTGCAATATGGAGTAGGGATGATGTGCTCCACTTCCAAGTCCATCTACACCTCCTATGCTCTTTCCCTTCCACTGGGGCTTCACCCACACAAATCACTGACCAGGTGTGGGCAGTAGAGCCACACAAAATTGGTTCCTATGCCCCTAAGGGTCCACCTGATGATTAGAAACACCCATGGGTAAGAAATCTGTTGTGGGAAGCCACTGAGATTTGTAAGTTCTTCTGTTACAGAACAGAGGTCCTCCCTTACTAGACTCTACAGTGGCCTTCGTTCTGTTCTTCCAATATACTAGGTTTCACCCTGCCTCTAGGCCTTTGCACATGATGCTCTCTCTGATTTTTTTCTGCATAGCTGAATTTTCCTGGTTAAAAAGGATTGACTCAAATGCCAGCACTTCAATATGCACCCTAATCACCCAGGCTTCCAGCACATTTCATCCACCACTTTTGTTTTTTTGGCATTTACCACTATCTGAAATGATATTTCTCACTTATTAGAGGTTTACAGTACAGTAGTTAAGAGCATCAACACTTGCCTTGGCCAGGTGGCTCAGTTGGTTGGAGCATCATCTCATACACCAAAAGGTTGCAGGTTCGATTCCTGGTCAGGGCGTGTATGGGAGGCAATCGATCAATGTTTCTCTCTCTTTCTCAAATTAATAAAAACATATCTTCAGGTGGGATTAAAAAGAAAAGAACATCAACCCTGAAATCAGATACCTGGTGTCCAAACCTGGCTCTGTTATTTTCTGGCTGTGTAGTTTAAGGTAACTAACTTAGCCTTTCTGTGGCTGTGTTTCACCTGTTTCACCATTTGTAAAATGGGGCAGCAATAGAATCATCACAGTGATTAGATGAGCTGACCCATGTAATAAAGTGCCTGGTACACTGCATGGGCCATGGAGGTGTGAGGTGTGGATATCACTGTGTTTGCTCCATTTCGTGGGTGCAGGATATCGGCTGTCTTTGTTGCCACTTGGTTCTTAGTGTGCAGCACACAGGGTTAATAAACATTTGTTGAATAAGAATGAAGAAAGAGCTGGAGCCCATTTCCAGACTCACCCGGCCCCTGCTGGGGAGAGGGCATCAGAATCAGAGCCAGAGAACAAGAGACCAGGGGCTGGAGGGTGTGGAGACAGACCAATCCCCTTGATGTGGTCACAGACACATCTGCTCCATTGACAAGGTGGCTACTGGTTGCCACAACAACACTCCTGGCTCCAGAAGAATGTGCTGGAGACAACGGGAGAGCTCAGCAGCCACCCCCAACTTAGCCCCAGATGGCAAGCTGCCTCTGACACAAAGAAAGTGTCACACCCTGTGCTCTTGCACGCTCACACACCCACGGCAGCTCATAGACATGGAGTGAGAGATCCAGGGGCACCTGCACACAAGGCCAAGGGGAGGCATCACAAAGGAGGTACAGACACACACAGCTATCATGGCCAGAACTGAGGCAGACCTCATAAGAGATATACACAGGCCACTGCAAGGGGCCCAGGGTCACACTAACTCGATGCCACCCGCCTAGGGGCTGGCCACTGACTGGTCAACTTGTCTTACATGGGAAGCCATGGCTTGACCTTCACTATTCACCTGTGGTCCCTGGCACTTGCAGGCCCCAAGTTTGTGTGTGTGTGTGTGTGTGTGTGTGTGTGTGTGTGTGTGTGTGAGTCACTGTGTATAGGTTGGAGGAGGACACAGTGCCATCTCCCTCAGGAGGGAGGCCACACCCAGAGTGGAGATAGTTGAGTATGAAGAGAGAAAACTGCTGAGGCCTTACAGCTACAGTCCTGCTCTCTGGCCAAGATTCTGGGTTCCAATCACAGCTCTGCCCTCACACTGTGGAGAGATAGGATAAGCAAGGCCTTCTGCCCTCAGCCCCAGTGTCCTCACACTCACAGCAAGTGCGCACAAGCGTTTCATGTGGGGATCCTCAGTGCGGTCAGGGCAGACAGCAATTGTGAACCCCACATCCACTAGGTAGCACTTGGCACTGCCTTGGAACTGCAAGCCTGGGCTCGGTCCCCACTGTCATCGGGTTTGGGGTAGGTGCCAGGGATTGTGGGGGGCTTTTGCCTACTGTAGGCCTCAGA